AATCTTGTTTGGTTACAGAGCTATCAAACAGAAAATAATACCCCTCTTGCCACACCCATCTGTCACATCATCTCTTTCAGGATTTGTTAATAGTTCTAACTTACTCTTAATACTATATTATGTACAACCAATAGAAAGCCAAGGTTTTCATCTATCAAATGGTGTATTATATTACATTGTTTTCTGAATGGAGAATTGTCATTTTCTCTGTGAGTACAAGCTTCATTCCCATGGGAAAGACAACTACTAGCTTGGATGAATTTGTAACGGCTCTTGTTGCATAGTTAGAAAGCCAGAAAATTTGTGATAGTTAGGGGAAAGTATAAATAGATGTACACTGTTATGAGTTTAAAGCTACTTAGGATAAACAAATGTAGTTTCATGTTACAATCCAAAATCATTCTAGAAAGAAAAAAATGATAATTTAGATTTTTTTGGTGGTTATGAAGTCAGTAAAATTGACCAACCTTGTATAGAGTTAGGGTAGAGAAAATAACTGATAAAATATAGTTTTACTGAAAAAAACATTTGAAATGTATTTAGGAGGTTTTAGAAATTATGCAAATTACATATGAGATTTATGAGATAACGTATTTTTAATCTTAACATGAAAATCACTTTGCACAATGACTTGTAAAAAAAGTGATATATTCACAAACAAGTCTTTTTTGTTTATTAAAAATACTTCACTAAAAAATACGATTTTTTGTACGTGAAAGACATAATATTTACTGAAAGTCTGCCAAATTTTGTGAAGATATACATACTATAAGTTAGTCGTATCAAAACTATAAAGACTTTAAATGAGTACAAAGAGGTCACATGGTCGGCGAAGTCAACCGAGCTTGCTCGGTATTGAAAGAATTAACTGGTAAAAGGAATTCCAACCTTTCATTCCCCCAGAAAATCCTCGCCAGTTGGCAAAGATGAACAGAGGAAGTTCTTCTCTGTTGAAATCCTTGATAGCTTGAGCAGTTTTATACGCTGAGTCAGGAAACCAGACTTGGCCTGCTTGAGACACTAGCTGCAAAAAAAAATAATAATTCAACTACTTTCTAGTTTTCAGCTAACAAACAGGAACAAAGTTGATTATATCAATAAAATAACCAACAAGGTTTCAGTATTAGAATTCTATCAGAAATTGCACAATATGATTTATGTTCAAATGCTTTAATATAAATAGAACATAGTAGTGAAAAGATTATTTTATGCCTTTAACAACAGCTTTTAAACTAGGGCTAATGTTAGACATGCATGAAGCAATCTCTTATCAAGAGTTAGAGTGGTTGATATTATCCCGTGTAATAATATTTTCTTTCAGTAAAACTAACTGTAAAATTACACCAGACACACGATTGCAAAATATGTTAATATGTGGAGCTACTATTTTAATGTGGAAATAATACTTTAACCACATGACTTTAATAAGCAACATGTTGCATAATTCATACTAGACAATTACTTCAACAGTGTAAACTACAAAATTTATTAATCCATTGAAACCATTCTTTTTTAAGTTAGCCTACTTTAGCTTCTGAATCAAGATTAGCTGGATCAGCTGGAATGGCTACTTCTACAGTCCTGGTTTCTACAGCAATTACTCCAACTGGAATACCACCAAGACGAGCTCGACCACAAACTACAGTCTGAGCCCAGGGTTTCATGATTTCATTAAATGATCCACGATCAAAAAAACCATCTTCCCAGCTACCTGGTAAGCCTTCATAGATAAAAAAAAAAAGGTCATCAGAAAGTAATTTATTGCACTAAACAAAATGTTTTATGCTAACATTAATAAATAAACTAAACCCATATTAAATACATTTAATAATGACGGAAAAAATAATTTGTGAGAAAATACCTTAAAACATATCAAACATCACAAAAGGTTTCAACAGATAAAAACTGATCTGCTAATCGTTAAGAAAATATCATAAAACATATCAAACATCATAGAAGGTTTCAATAGACAAAAAGTAATCTGTTAATCTTTTGATTAACGACACTTCATTACAAGCACGTACAAATTAAGTTAATGATAAAGTTTTTACAAAATTTTATGTTAATGTACAACAGTTCAGAAAATCATCAGACATCCTTTATAAAACTAGTTTCTTTTAACAAAAGCAAAAGTCAGATAGTTACTATAAATATTCCTGCAGAACCTTATAATCTATGAAATCCCAATCTAGCTTGGAAACATACATTGTAATTACAGTTATGATACCCTGCTTACAATACATATGGCTAATAAAAAAAAATATGGTACACCTTTCTACGGTATTGTAAACTAATTCAAAATCAACTGAATTTTGTTTCTTTATCTACTAGACAAGTATGCATAATTGCTTACTGGTGCTTTCTTTTCCAGCTAATAACCATACAGGATCATAAGCCACCTTAGTGGGAGTATATACTACATCTCTCTCAACAGGATCAACTGGTTCCAAAATTGGCAATTCTGACCCTCGACACTGTAAAGTAAAAGAAGGTATTTACTGAGGAAGAAATATTCTTAAAATAATATACATATTTTCTATAGTGGGCTATGCAGTAAGCTGAATGGGTTGAATAGCAGGATAACAAGGAAGTTATTTATTCTTCTATCAAAGGTAAACTAAAACTTTGCAGTACTTTCTACATATTTGTTTTTAAGTGTAGGAATATCTTATTCAGATAATGGGTGGCGCTACTATTCTGGAGTCTTAACACACCTGTGTGAAGTAAGATTAACTTGATACCTGGGGAATGTAGGAAAGCCACTTGAGCATAATGCTAACACCTTCGATGTCATCTTTTGCTGTCATGTGACTGACACCGTTGTTATGCATAATCTGGATACCTCCTAACTGGTTATTAGAGGTGTAAACTTCCCGTCCAAGAAGCTTTAAAGAGAAGAAAATTTGGAATTTTTTACATCAACAAAACTTATAAATACAAGAAGTTCATGTTATGCTGAAGTGAATAGAATATTCTGACATAAATACAATTATCAAATGGCCCAAATAAAATCACTTGAAGTCACTCATTCAGTATATGTGTAATGGACATTAAAGGTTCTTGTGTATGTTGTTGATCAGGATTAATCTTAAAGCAAGTAGTCTATAACTTCTTTGACAACTGTTAGAAAAACTAAATAAAAAAAACTATTTTAACTTAATATACATCATGCAACTAGTTTTTAGACTCTTATGTAAGTTTTCTTAACTGCCAAGTTTAGTTACAATACTTTAAAACAAAGCAAAAGATCCTGCTAAAAACTGGACATTACATTATTGAATGTTTTATACAATCTTAAGTTACTTAATTTTCATAGGAAGAATTTTAAAAACCTCTTCTTGCTGTTTTTCTCATATAGTTCATATGATCCTGAGTGCAAAACAAAAATATACATATTTTCTTTTATATCCTACAGAGATCATGTAGGGACAAAATAAGTATTTTACATTCAGGTTCACACACTGAAATAAGATTTAGGAAAGGAGAAAGGAACATATCCCACTACTTGGCTTACTGAAGACTTGTTTAAGACTTTAAAAAGCACACTAAAAACATTCCAACAGCTCAATCTATCAAAGTTTATGAATAAAGCAAGGGACTTTTCAAAACTTACTCTACTGAAAGCCAAGGATGTTCCTACAGCTTGTCTTACTGAAAATTTCTTCGAGAATGGACACATAACGTACCTTATTGAGAGCTCCAGCTCCAGTAAGAATAATGTGGGAATTTTCCACTTGAATAACTCTCTGGCCAAGACGTACAAGGTAGGCTCCAATACCAATAGCTCGACAGGTCACCTTGAAACAAAGAAAAATGAATCAACAACCACTTGGAAACTGGAAAGTAATTAAAACCACAATGTTAAAAATCACATTAGATACATGGAAAACTGTACATATAGTGTTTTATTAAGATTAAATACAAGCAAATTACAGACTATTCTACTGAACCCAATCTTTCCATACAAAACATCTCTTTATACATGAAGCATTACGATAACTCTTTCTATACAGGATCAGTCATTTTGACCAACATTATAACCACATAGTAACCATGATAGTATCCATACTATACCTTTTAATGTGGTACATGTACCTTTACAAAATTTGGCAAGCTTTTAGTAAGTGTTACGAGTCTTTTGTACACAGAAAATCAGATTTTTTAATAATAAAGTATTTTTCCTAAAGATTTGTCCATGAATATTTGGAGTCAGAGTGTTAACTGCTCTGAAATCAAGGTGATTTTCATGTTAAGATTAGGAATACTTTTATTCATCTTACAGTTTTCAAATTTCATTCACATAACCTCTAAAACCTTTTAAATGAATATCAAGCATTTTTTTCCAGTTAAACTTTATATTTTATCCATTAGTTTCTCTACCCTAACTCTATGTGGGCTCAATCGATTTAACCAACCCTGTAATCACCACAAAACAACAGGAAATAAATCTAAATTACCATATTTTTCTTAGTAGAATGACTGCAGATTGTAACAGAAAACTGCAACTGTTTATCAAAACTAACTTAAGGCCTGTAACAGTCTACATCTATTTATACTTAATTTTACTGTTTTTACTGCTCTTTGAACCGTGTCTACATAATAACAAGCTGTGAATCACTCAGGGAATGCACAGCTAAAGTTACCATATTGAATGATGTAATGTACGAGCTACTCGTGAGCACACCTTGTGAAGAAAAGCCTGGCATGGCCAGGTGGTTAGGGCGCTCGACTTGCAATCTGTGGGTTGCAGTTTTAAATCCCCGTTCCACCAAACATGTTCGCCCTTTCAGCCAGGGGGTGTTATAATACAATGGTCGCTCCCACTATTCGTTGATAAAAGAGTAGCCCAAGAGTTGGCAGTGGGTGGTGATCACTAGCTGCCTTCCCTCTAGTCTTACACTGCTAAATTATGAATGGCTAGCACAGATATCCCTCGTTTAGCTTTGCGCAAAATTCAAACTAAACTAAACCTTGTGTAGAATTTTTATTTCTTTCATTATCTTACCTAATCTAACCTAATAAGTTCCTAATTTTTACATTTCAGTTGCTTTTATAGCAATAAATAAAAATATACTTGAAAAATAACAATTTTAGTTCTTATATTTGATTTGTTTTTTGCTGTCAGTTGACAATGAAATTTAAGCCAAATGTTTAGTAATGATGATACCAGTACATTAAACAATTTCTACTTATTTAAAGAATGCACATAAGAACACAGAATAATAACATGCACAAAGCAAACAATGTCTTATAACTATTCAACTTTAACTGGTTTTCTAACTAAGTCACAAATGCCTTAAAATAAATTCCCTTAGCTACTCAATCCAAGCTCTCTTAGAGAAACTTTCAGTCTAAGATAACATAGCTAAAACTCTATACTGAGAACAATGTAGCATAATACATCATTCAGTAAATTAAAACTTGTTTTTTCTATTGGTTATAAATGATTTTATAGAAAATCTTAGAGAACTGATGGCAATTTGTGAAAGAGAGGATGTAACAGGTGGGTGTGTCAAGTGGATCTGACTTTCTAGTTTATGTCGCTGTAAATTAAATAAAACTTAAAAGACTTTGCCTTAGTAATATTTAAACTAAATTAAGTAATTCATATTAAACTCAGTATGTCAGAGAGGGTGTTCAAAAATTAAAGGATGAGCAAATTATCACAATTCTCATACAAGAGGAGATTGAGGATTTATTTAAATATTCTCTTTTAAAATTAAGAAAGTAACTTAGTTAATATTACAATTTGATTTATTAACTATGTTTTGATGTCAAGTTTATTCAAATACATTGATAATAAAGTAGTTTAATTAAATTTTGAATATAACTCTGTAAAAAGGCCAGGATATGTGCACTTTGTCCTACCCATAGAGATAAAAAAACCATAAATGAACTTATATTAGACAAAAGTGGCAAATGCGAAATGACATACTTTGGAAAACACCCTGAAAAATGCAAAAAATAACTTGTATAGATACTGATATTAATATTCACATGCACACACACACACATACATACAAAGTATATATTTAGAAGAAATTTATTAAGACCAGTGTCTCACACTTACCATGCTGATCGTTACAACATCATTGTAAGCTTGAGAAGATTCACCAGCAATAGTTCCAGCATATTTCAAATTTTCAACTCCTAGACCTTCATCTTTTCCTGGAAGGATAAAGCAAAACAATGTTAAAGTATTAAATCTAGTTGAATAGAATCCTTTTAGAATATATCCTATTAAAAACTATCTTCACCAATAACACTGGCTCATAACACTACTTGTAAACAACCATACTGTCAAATATATCTTTGCCAATAGCATTGATCTCTACCTGTTAGCAATCCATTCAAATGCCAAGTGAAATGCTGTTAAGTCTGAAATTTATTTTCATAAGAAAAAATAGAAAAATACTACTTTTTAGCAGCCAAATTTATCCCAGAATAAAACGTAAGTCTCTTTTCACAAATAAAGGATCCAAAACATGTCCAAACAAAAATACTATATTTCAAAACCAGTTCTATTGGGAAGAATGTATATATATATTGAGAATAAAATAATTGTACATATTTTCTCTAAAACATACATTAATAACAATAATAGTTGCTCAGAGAAGACCAACATGATAAAATAATTTTTTAATAAAAATTTAAATACACAAAAATTATGTCCTATTTTTTATCCATATAAATATCTACATTCTTTTAAAGTCTTAGATTAAATCTTATAATTATCATTTACTTTTCCCAAAAGGTTACAGCAGTTCATGGTTTAGATGTCTGCTTCACTTACCTATGATATCTGTAATCTTGTAGCGAGCTTCTCCTTCATCATCAATTAGCTCTGCATGAACTGAGTTGACAGCACTCACTTTCTTAAAATTCTCTGGTGTTAAGTAAAGGTATTTGTAGCCCTACAATGGAAACAAATAGTTTTGAGTTAAGACATTGTTCTAGAAAAGTAAAACATATCTTAGACAGAAATAATAACATTTCAACTAAAGCTTTAACACAGCTGACTTAATACATTATAAAGTTTAAACTGTAATGATCACCACTCACATTTTCAGCTTTAATGGCAAAACATACTGATTTGTGTTGAAGCTTGGTCGAAGTAGTTTGATAATACAGACAGCTTTGGATCTGGTTGTTTACTGGTGTTCTACATGCCCTAGCATGTAGCTCAATAGACGACTCTCTGATTTCTCATTAATATTTTCCATTAATTCAAGTTTATTTAGCTTAATCCATTAGTGTCACAGAATACAAAAATAATAAACTACTCAAAATATTACCATTATGATTTCACATTATTATTTTTTTGATTAATTCAAATTTGTTAAGCTTTGGGCCAGCATGGCCTGGTGATTAGGGTGGTCAAGGGTCACCAGATTGATTCCCACTATCAACAAACATGCATGATGGAGTTAGATTTCTTTCTTTGTTTTTGAGTTATAACAAAGCTACTAAGGCTATCTGCCACTGACCCTAACTTTGAACTGCCAACCGCAGAGGAGATAGCTATTTAACATCACCCACTGTCAACTTTTGGGCTACTCTTTTAATATCAAATAGTGGAATTGACTACAACATTATAATGCCTTTACAACTGAAAAAAAAAACATGTTTGGTAGAACCAGGTATCAAATCCAAGACCTGCAATTCATGAAGAAACCATCCTATTGATCTAACCATCAGTTCATACCAGTTTGGAGCATAATGTGATGGTCAATCCTATTTATCAGTAAAGAATAACCCAAATATTGTTGATGGATGCTGGCAGGTAGTTATCTTTCCTCAGGTAAGTAATTCAAAATTAGGTATGGTAAGAGATAGCCTTATAGCTTTTTCATAACCCAATAATAAAGAAGCAAATGTAATGCATCGAAAATCAAACCCATGATGCTCAAATAGCAATGAATTACAAACGTAAATGTACTAAACAACAACAAAAAATCAATATAGCATTAAAATTTGCAAGAATCAGACATTTATATAGAGCAACAAAACAAAAACGTTATATACACACACACACACATATATATATATATATATATATAACTTTTTTCTATGTTGTACTTTATATCGTATAGAATAATTATAAGAAAATACCCCGTGACTAATTGTTTATAACTTGGTTGCAACTGAAATATAGTTTTCATAATGTGTAATGACAAAAGACATACAAGGATAAACATGTTTCAAACTAACATTTTGACGAATGAAAATAATAATTTTTGGTTCACTTTGTATACGGATGTTATGTACAAAACAATGGCTGTAAAATGACATATTGTAAAAATCTAAAAAAATTTAAATCCTTTGACAAAAAAACAAATTCTAATATTGAGTAAAAGACTGTTTACAACAGACTGCAACAACAAAAATAAAGTACTGTTATACACTATTCATTTTGAAAATTGGCACTGGGCTAGTTTTGAGGAGGAAGATTAAACACAATGTCAACTTATTGTGATATTTCATACTACTGTCTCCTTATCCTATAATTGATCATGATTAAAAACTAACACTAAACATGTACATCCTACAATTTGTGTAAAATGAACCAACAAAACTACACACCAAGTTTTCAAAAGCATCTCCATCAACTATAGATCTGTTCATTCATTATTACATTCTCTTCTTACCAACCAATATAAAAACTGTCAATTCCTTTGAGCTACTGAAATCAAAATAATCAAATGGAAGTTAATTTGTGTACTAATTTTCTTATTAATTCTCTCCCAAAAGTTTAAAATAATGCCTACTTCATTAAAGCTTTTTATTCCAAATTTATGAAAAACAACATCTTGCTGACATATATGTGAGACAATTATCATTTCTGACTGTTTTTGCAGTAATCAAAACTATGGTGAGGTTACATGCACTACAATCACCTTTCTCAATTAGATTACAATATGAACTAAAGCACTGTTATTAAAACGTCTTAATAACATTCATTCAAGATGTAATTATGTTCTTGGTTTATATTTTGATATAAGAATACCCAATTTCTTGAGTTCATCAAGGCCTCTGAAATTCATACTAAATAAATGGGAACTTAAAGTTAGTGAGGGATAAACCTTATCTTTCATTAAATGATAAGCAACTCAATGTACACAAAAGTTTACAGAAACCATTTAACACAAGTGAGACTGATTTTCAAATTTCATTAAAATTAATAAAGATATGACTCAATGACATGATTGCATAATACAGTGTTCCCCAAGGTGTGAACCGTGGCACCCCCGAGAACCATTAAGCTTTTTCTGAGGGGCTGCCAAAAAAATTGGCCCAAAACAAAGATGCTGTATTGATTTTAATTCCAAATAAACAATAAGCCAATAAAGATTATGTTTAATTAATCAAATGATATAGTATGTCAAAAGGAGATGTTGTTTTTGCTATGGCACTGTTTTTCAATCACCATGCAAAAGTTACAGGTTGGGGGGGCCTCAAACTTATTAATTCATATCAAGGGGGCCTCAGATTAAAAGAGTTTGGGAACCACAGACATAATACACTAATACAGCTTTTAGAAATAATTTCTTGCCTCTGTCTTTTTTTTTTCCTACTCATCCATTTAGAAACACCCATGCCCAAATTAAGTCACATAAAGACAAAAACCTGAAATATACACAAGAAACTATTATGATATACAGACAACTATGCTTTGGAACTTTTATTATACCTTGTCAGGATTCTCAGAGTCAACCCATGCCACTTGGAAAAGATGCTTAATCTCTTCTGCTAGTCCAATACGAGCTCCACTGTTAGCTGCAATATAAAGTCGAGGAATTCCCAGTGCCCTGGCTTTCTCTGAAGCTTTCTGTACAAAAATTAATAGTGTTGTGAATATATGTAATTGTAATGGACCCATGCTACTATATACTTGTAAAAGTAAATGTACTGTGGCTACAAAGTTTAAAACAATTTTGTTTCACTTACATTAAGAATTATAAATTTCCAAATTTGGGTAAGATTTTTTTCATTTTAACATTTTAACTTCACTATCTTAGGTGTTTTTACTTTAGAGACTGAACTGACTTGTTAACCATTCAAGAAAGAAGTTGAATTTTTTACATTACTTTCAGAAAAGATTTATCATATGCATTTTATCATGATGCATTTTTCAGTCTTGAAAGAAAGTTCATTTTATCTTTTGAAGTTACATAGATGTTCCAATATGGGAGCATTAGGCTAATGGATCATAACGGTTACCAAAATGATGGATTAAAAAACAACATTTTTTCATTATTTCTATTTTTATAAGAAACATTACATAACACTGAAGCTGGTTATTTGTTATAAAACAGAGGCCTCACAAAAAATGTAATATGTTTCAATAATAGTCACAAATACTGAGCTTATATACATTATTCTTTTGAATGATAAATCTTGAAACATTGAGTTCCTTGGCTGTAATGAAGCTATATTTCACATTTCTCACACAATGATCTTGTGTTTTTTTGACATACTAAACATCCACTTTAAGTTCAAGGTGTTAGTTCATTCATGTCTATCAAATCACACATTTATGGGTAAATCTGCATGTCTACCACCAGTAGCTTGTTTCCTGTTGCTTGAAGACTTCATCAGAACTAAAGCAATATTTCTTCTAAATTGATGGTCAACTTTGTTTTCTTTTGAATGCAAATTACAATAACATCTACATGTTGTAATTATACACAAATTGGGCAAATTCATCACCTGTGGCCACCACTATTTTTTTCCCTGAATCATGCAATCCATCAAATCAACCCCTCCCATTTCCTTGTTGTGAAGATTTTATTTCTGACCTGCTTACTCCTCTAACTCATCTATGTGCAGTATGAATCAGTTCATGTGTGAAGGAATTACTGGCAATATTTCCAATGGAATTGCCATTCCAGTTACACACACAAGTTTCACTGTTGAGCAAAAGTCAAAACTTCCAAGATCTTTCTTCTTTAGTTCATTGATAGAGATTGTGGTTTTTGTTCTTCCTCCAGTTCTATTTTACCAAATAGTTCCATTTGCTTTATACCCATTCTCAGCAACAGATTTTAAAAGTTTTGTGCTCGTAAAGAAGTTATCAAAGTATACCTCATGGTATTTTGGTGACGATTCTCTCTCTCTATTGCATCTAACAGTTACACAACAATCCTTTGTTCAAATGGTTCTTCGGGTCTTGCACTTTGATCTTTTCCAGTGTAAATCTTAAATCTGTATGGGTAGCCACCATCCACACAGAATCCAAATCTTACACTCAAAGCATATTGGCTTACCTGTGATGAACATTTTGGCACTTTGTTATGCAAAATGTGGTACCAATGATTCATCAGTGTTCATGAAATACTACCCATTGAATATTTTCATTCAATCTCAGGTAGAGAGATGACACTTTGGCTACTTTGTTTCCTTTTTATCAAAATTCTACTTATCAGCTGTGTGAAAGTATTTAAGTTCAAAAACTTGTCTCTGCTCATTATTTATGAAACAAAAAAACCTTCAAGTCAGATTAGTTACTCCAGTAATCTCTTTCCAAGGTTCCAAAGAAAATCAAAATTCTATGGAAATGTCTGAGATCATAATTTGATAACTTGAAAGTTGGGTTATTTTTATATCTTTTTGCATATAATATTGTTTGTTCTGCAAAATAATCAACCATTTCATTTGTGAATATCATATTCCATATTTCATGACATGTTTTGCTTAAGTAATTGTGATATCTTTCTTGTTGATTTTGATACAAAAGAGATTGATTTTGTAAAATTGGTGTTTTCCCCCATTGCTCTTTTGCATTAACGTTTTTATCCTCACTAAAACGTTCATCCTCTTCAGATATTGAAGTAATAGAAATTTCTAACGTCCCTGCCATTTCAAACAGATCATCGTTGGCAGCTATCTCATCAAAATCCTCTTCCTCATTTGGAATATTTCCATCTCCATATATTCAGCCAGAAGAATAGACACATTTGCAGCATGATTGTCTTGCAAAACTTTTTTGCTTCCCGAAGAGTGACAATTTGGTATATTCTATTTGTTTTTCCAGAAAACATGGAGATTTCCATGCTACGAAAGATGTTGCTGGTAATCTGTGATTGAGTGAAGTCCCACTGGTCATTCTATTATACGTACCCTAAAAGATGATGTAATACTCCATCACACCAAAACATAATGCAATGTCACTTGACACACTTGTGCCTAGTGTTGCCCTATGGGAACATCGTATTTCAAATACTGAAACACGATAATGAACCTTTATAAATATATAATTTTTTATATTGAAGACATGAAATAATTCCTTATGAATGTTTTTCACTGGAAAACATAACTTGCATATGTTTTATTACACAAAGTTTCAATACTTAATTTTATATGGTGAACGATACAAAAATTACAACTTTCTAAACAACTAAATCTGACCAAAACTGATTTTAAGGTTTCTTAGGCGTTCTACAGTGAAAAATGCATGTGATAAAAGTTTTATAAAATAAAGCAAATTTTATTTTACACTTTAATTTTACATTGCTTTCATATAAGAATATTGGGTAGTAAAACTAGATTAATCTAGCAAGTGTCTTTGGATGCTTCATTCTGTGAACTAGACTAATCTAGCAAGTGGTTTTTGATGCTTCATTCTGTGAACTAGACTAATCTTGCAAGTGGTTTTTGATGCTTCATTCTGTGAACTAGACCAATCTAGCAAGTGTCTTTAGATGCTTCATTCTGTGAACTAGACCAATCTAGCAAGTGTCTTTAGACACTTCATTCTGTGAACTAGACAGACTAATCTAGCAAGTGTCTTTAGATGCTTCATTCTGTGAACTAGACCAATCTAGCAAGTGTCTTTAGACGCTTCATTCTGTGAACTAGACAGACTAATCTAGCAAGTGTCTTTTGATGCTTCATTCTGTGAACTAGACTAATCTAGCAAGTGGTTTTTGATGCTTCATTCTGTGAACTAGACTAATCTTGCAAGTGGTTTTTGATGCTTCATTCTGTGAACTAGACTAATCTTGCAAGTGGTTTTGATGCTTCATTCTGTGAACTAGACCAATCTAGCAAGTGTCTTTAGACGCTTCATTCTGTGAACTAGACTAATCCTGCAAGTGTCTTTAGATGCTTCATTCTGTGAACTAGACTAATCTAGCAAGTGTCTTTAAATGCTTCATTCTGTGAACTAGACTAATCCTGCAAGTGTCTTTAGATGCTTCATTCTGTGAACTAGACTAATCTAGCAAGTGTCTTTAAATGCTTCATTCTGTGAACTAGACTAATCAAGCAAGTGTCTTTAGATGCTTCAATCTGTGAACTAGACTAATCTAGCAAGTGTCTTTAGATGCTTCATTCTGTGAACTAGACCAATCTAGCAAGTGTCTTTTGAAGCTTCATTCTGTGAACTTGACTAATCTAGCAAGTGTCTTTTGATGCTTCATTCTGTGAACTAGGCTAATCTAGCAAGTGTCTTTTGATGCTTCATTCTGTGAACTAGGCTAATCTAGCAAGTGTCTTTAGACGCTTCATTCTGTGAACTAGACTAATCTAGCAAGTGTCTTTTGATGCTTCATTCTATGAATTAGACTAATCTAGAAGTGTCTTTTGAAGCTTCATTCTGTGAATTAGACTAACTAGTTAAACAATTATCTTCAAAAGCATTTTATGAACTAATCTAGTGTCTTTCCAAGTGCTTCACTCAAATTGAGAATAAAGAACTTGAAGACAGTTGTTGTAATTTAAAAAAAAATTGTGCAAGAAATAAAAAGATCAACTTGGTAAGAAACTTAAACGTCTTACAGTAAATATCAGTAACTCATGTCCTGACTCCTTTTGTTCTTTTATTAAATATAAACGTTTTAGGACTAGTTTACTTCTTTACCATTATTTAAAGTTTATGTAAAGGTGATCTACTTTACACGCATGTTTAAATTTAACAGAACATTAATTGGAAACAGTTTCATTCTTTCTTCAAATTACATTATTTCATTAGTTATAAAACTGCACAAAAAATGTATTAGATTATTTAGAAAGGTTACTTACACTAGTAAAGTCAGACTCACTGTTTTACACAAAAAGAAACACCTTTTTTATCCTCTCACAGAAATCATACATGTCTTTGTATCACTTCCACATTTTTTGTTACCTATATATTAAATGCATCAATACAGTTTTTATTACTCACAAGAAATAGAAGATCTTCTTTTGGTGCAAAAGTTCCAATCATGTAAGTGATGTCATTAGATATGACAATAATATCTCTTCCAGCAGGGTACTCTGGTGTGCAAAGAGTCATTTTCCAAGCTACCATGCCAACCTGAAAAACATAAATGACTCTTACAAAAACAATTAAGAAACATTTTTGAAACGTAATATCATGTTTCTTAGGACTTTATTTGCTTTAAAGTAAAATATAACCTCGTGACTCTATTTTCACAAGTTCTTCCTGGATAAGAAGATTAAAATATCTAATATGAAAAATTTTATTTTTTCCCATCACATTTTTTAGCAAACAAGTTTTAGTGGAAAAATAAAAAAGACATAGTTATCAGCAATTTTTTTATTTAGGGAATATACGATTCCTAATTAATTTAAAAGTTACTTAACTCTCACTATATAAGCTCAGTAATTTTGATGAACATCACAACCACCATGAAAGTATGCATAACTTTTAATGTAGTAAATGTATCTTCGTGAAATGTAGCAAGGTTTTAGTAAACGTTTTGAGTCTTTCTTACACAAAAATCTGTTTTTCAATTAATATTTTTATTATTCAATATTTGTCTATAAATATATGAAGTTAGAGTGTGACTTAGACTCTGATTAGTCTGAGTGAAAAATCCTTTTCATACTAAGATTAGAAATACTTCTTTTTATCTTCCAGTTTCCAAATTTCAGTTGCATAACTTCTAGAATCTCCTAAGCAAAAAATAAGTTTTTTACAGTAAAACTTTAAATATTATCTGTTAATTTATGTACCCTAACACCATACAGACTTGATCAATTTGACCGACGTCGTAACCATCATAAAAAGTATAAAACTAACCTAAATTGTCCTTTTATACTTCTAGAAAGATTGCAGATTGTAACACAAAATTACAATTATTTATCCTAAATAGCTTAAGGTTCATAACAATTTACATCTATTTTCATTTAATATTGTTATTTTATTGCTCTTGAATAGAGGTAATAAAATAGTTTAATTATATGTTGAATGTAACACTGTATTGTTTGTTTGTTTGTTTTTGAATTTTGTGCAAAGCTACACGAGGGAAGGCAGCTATTCATCATCACCCACTGCTAACTCTTGGGCTACTCTTTTACCAATGAATAGTGGGATTTGCCATCACATTTTAATGCCCCCACAGCTGAAAGAGTGAGCATGTTTTGCGGTATGGAAATTTGAACCTGCAACCCTCAGGTTTCGAGTCAAGCTCCCTAACCACTTGGCCATGCCGGGCCTGTAACTCTGTAAAAGTTGTGACATATTAAAAGGTTACTATTATGCATTATTCAGAGATTCTAGAATATGATAAGGAAATCAATCCACTTGGAAAATAATCAAATGCAGATTCACACCAGTTTACACCACTTCCAAGAAAACAGATTTTTGAAACAGCTATCATGTTCCAGATATTGGTAAAATTTGGGCAATTATTTATCACAAATTATGTTTCAAATGTGTATTTCTCAGAACCAAAAGTTCCTTTAGCTAACAAAATAAACCAAAGTAAATGTACTAACTATAATATTGCATTTATTTTCATATATTTGCTCATTTTCATAGTTGAATAATTGTTTAGAACAATTTTTGCGTTTTCACATGGTCCGAGGGTATCAGTTAGGAATTACGTCAGCATTTTGGACTAGATCTATTCCTGATATGTTTGTAGCATATTTATATAAAGATCCAACATTTCATTTCAAAAATAGTCTGGAAACATATAACTTCCTAAACTGGATGTTCCTCTTACATCATTCTCTCCAGGAAGACGTTTCTGTTCCACAAGCCTTCCTTCCCTGTCCAGCACCAGTTCTACGTGACTCATCACCTGATTTGGTGTGTCTACTTCAGGCCTTTCTTCCACAAATTCTTCCCAGCATCTGATTAAGGCCTGGGAAAAAATAAATGTTTACACATAACCTAATAAGCTTATCATGGCATCTCTGCTATACACCAAAAAACACTAAAATTGCACTTAGTATACATTTAAGATGATGATAATGATTCAATGGTAATTTACAGATGATTTTTTGAAATGTTCATGAATCTCTATCACACGGACACATGGCTCAAAACTACTTGAAAACTTTTCTTATCAACTTAACTCAAAAGCATCTAAGAATTACCTTCACACAGGGAACTGGTACAGAAAGAAAAACCTTGCTACAAGATATACTAATCACAAAAACAATCAGGAGCTTTCCACACTGATATTTTCTAAGAAAAACAACTATTATAGACCATATCTGTCACTTTAAATACGGTCATGCCCCAATTGTTGAACATAGTATCACTTGCATATTTACAAAACAAGTTCAAGATCTTAGCCCATCTGACAGGCTTCAAAGTGAAATAGTCTTCTTACCTTCTTTCTTCCTTTAAAAAAAATGTTTATCCAATTTAATTCCTCAAAGATTATCTATACAATAAAACTTCTTCAAACCAAGTTCCAATATTAAGCAAAACCTAGCCAACATCAGACTACTCAAGCTCACATAAAAGTACAATGCGTGTATAAAATCAACTGAAGCTGTGGTGAATCATGCACTGGTGGAACTCATAAATATCTAAAAACCACAATCAGTGTTCATAAAAGACAAATCAGGTTTATTAAAACTAATCAGACATGAGAATGAACTTTAATTTAGAAAAACAAAACAAAGCACATACATGGAAAATCTTAATGGCAGTGGAGAAAAACATGACACAGGAAAACTCCATTACTCGTAACTATTTTGTTCTGTAAGGTCAAAATAAAAAATTGTCTAATTTGGAAATAACACATTATTAGCTCTCTTTAATCACGTATTTAATAGAACTGTTTGTTGGTTTCTATTTCTTAAATGGAACTGTCCAACGCAATCACTTTGTAAAGAAAAGTAAGTAGTTAAGTTAGGCTTATCAAAGATGCATAATTGAGTAAAGTAATGCAATTAATACGACATACAGACAAAGGAGATTGTATGCTTTAAATTATATAGGCAGATGTTGCTTGACATATTGTACTGGTTCATAAGGCTAAGACTGCATGATTGATTTTACATGTGACCAAGTATTCTAGGCTTGGAATGCATATCAATCAATCATTCATCACCATGTCATTGCTGCCAATAGAATTGAATGAAATATCCGTTTTCTCAATGGATCTTTTTGGATTTCAGTTTTGCAACCTTAATTACCAAAGCAGGGGATTTCCACCCACAAACACACTACACGCGAAAAACAAAATCTAATGTCTGACAAATGCCTCTATCATATTTAAGCACGCAGCAACAGTAAAATATCACACTGAATGGAATTCCACTTCTATACTTGCCAAAGCTTCATGCTAGAAAATCCAAGAATTAAAAGAAGTCTACACCCACATGATCCATACAAAACTAAACATAGACTAAAGAACAAAAATATCCTATTCTGCTGATATTATTAACAAACAATCTTACAACATAAATTCATTTCTAACTGTTTTTGCACCAACTTGTAACTCTACACAGCTGTGACTATATTCAACTGACCCAACAAAGTATTCTTCCAAACTACCACAGAAGCTCATTACACTATACAGAATGAATAATGATATTGTATAAGAAATCTTCTAACTATAAAGGCTTGAAAACAAAAAGAATGAACACTAAAGTGTAATTACACAAACAGAAAAAAAAAACAAAAAACATTAACTCCAGTAAAAGAAGGTGAGGTATTTTGGAAACATTTTATAGACAAAAAATATAAAACGTGAAAACTAATTCTACAAAAAATACTGATAAAAGTTCCATCCACAATCCTATGTCAAACTGAATTTACACTTGTAATAATTAACAGTGGTTCCGTGAGCCAGGGATAGTACTTAGAGGCCATTTTGCAGAGCTGGTTAGAAAAAGTCTTCCCAGAAAAGGGTTTCGACCCCAGATTTAGCAAGACCACGAGGTAAAAAACATATTCTGAAATTTTGAAGAAAAAATATTGAGTAGAAGTCGAGATATGATTGATTGACTATATATGGACTCCATAGTACTAAAGTCAATAGTAATATATGATTCATACTATGCATTGGCATGATTAAAAGACTTCTTATGCTTTTGTTTCAATGCAGAAACAAAACTCTTTACTTGCTTCATCTCCGTATAGTTTGCATCATTTATCTGAGCAGAAGTCTGATTTCTAAACTGCATTAATGACTTCTTGGGCTTAATTTCATAACCAGATTCTGCCACAATTTGACTGATGACCATTCTGAACCACTCTTGAATATCTCTGATTTTCGTCAAGATAGTTCTGTGCTTCTTATATTTGGACGTCAAAGAAATTCTCTGACGAATTTCCATTTCACTTGACAAATCAAGGTGTTCAGGATATTTCTGGCGTAAGATTTTGAGCAAACGACCCGGTCCAATTTTATTTCGCTTGTCTTCCATGCCTCACATGTACATTTTGTCTACCTCTGCTTTGACATGTTCAATGTACCTAGTACCATACACTTTTCCATAAGCAGGTCACTTAGCTGACCCAAAACCAAATACTTCTGGTACAAAGTCGGTATCATCGTATTGTAAGTCATGAGCATCAGAAGAAATATTTCCACAGATCTTCGTATTAATGAAAGCAACTTGTCCTTGGTCTATAAGCATTTTGGCATGCCTAATAGCTGAAGTTAGTAAGTCATTTTTAGTTCTGGCACCTCGACAGACATGTTACTCTTTCTTCATCAAGAAGATGAAAGACCGTTCACATACCACACACTTTGTTGTATTCTCCGAATATTCTCCTAACTCATCTAAAGTAATTCGTGTTCACTGACTCCATATCTGCCATCTGTAAATATTATCTCTACCTGCCTGCAATGAAAACACACAGTTCGTTCACTTTCCATGGAATTCAGTCACATTCACATCTTCAACGAAGTTCCCAGATCCCAGTTCATCAATAATCAGATCACCAATATCATCTCTTTCATTGTCAGCCTCTTCATGATCACTTGGCTCCATTTCATCATCACACTGACTCAATTGTTCATTGTTCATGGGATCATTTGGCTCTTGTTCATCACCACATTGTCCTGAAGCTGTATTACTGGAAACAAACTTTGGCTTATGAGGGTCAGTCATGTCAAGAAGGACTGAATACATTCTCGAATACTCGTAGAATCCAATACAATTGTCTTCAAACACAACTTCATTGAATCGACCAAGTTTTGAGAAAACTTTATCTACTCCCTCCAAATAATCGTTCATCAGATCATATACTTTTTTTCGATCTAAGTCGAATATTGAAATCACAGTATTTACCACCCCACCATTACATTGCAGAGCTTGTTGTAATTCCAATGGTGATATCACATTATTGCCCATATACACATATTTAGTAATAAGACACATTGCTATTGCAAAGTGTGTATCAATACATCCTTTTCCACCCTGTGTCTCTGTATGTATGAAGGATTTCAATAAAAACCGTATGTCTTTGCCAGAAGCGCCATTCCCAATATGAGATATCCATTTTCGTGGAATTTTGTGTTGTTGGATTGAATAAACAATTTTTTTTACTGCTGAATGGCCTTTTTTCATTTATCAAGACACCTTCCAATATTGATAAGACTGCCACCAAATCTTGCAGGGAATCTTCACCTGATATGTCGTCATAATATGATATTTGAGTCTTTAATTCATCATCTCCGTCTGATGTAGATTCTACTTTCGTATACACCATTGTACTATGCCAGCTAAGACCCTTCTTTCCATAATGATCTATAGTTTTTCTCCCTGAAGTAAATGGGTTCACATTTCATCTTGTAATCCATAGTAACTAAAGCTTGATCCAATTGCAATTGACAGTGAATTTCATGAATACGCCTGTGTTGATTCTCTACAATGTCCCATATACAATTTCATTTTGTGTCTACAAGGGTAGTTGGCATTCTTCACATTTTCTACTCAGAATTGGATTTCGTCAACATCCACATACATTTGTCTTTCACATGAGAGCTTTCGATTGTCCCAATTATCCTACTCAATAGTCCCATATTATTGTACAATAAAATTCCAAAAGCATAATCAACAGCTTTTCGGATTTTTCTGATCAAATGTTGTTAATACTGTTACCATTTTGCAGAACAATGTATGTGATATTTGATTATCCACAGACGTAAATCATTCAATGTAATCACGATAAAGGAACTCGATGACCTTTTGTTTGTAAATTGTGGAAAATCATACTATTTTCCATCTAAGTAAATTTTCTTTGTATCCAAAATGCTGTCGGGACTCAAAATAAATTCAACAGCTTGTATCACAACACTGAGTTTATATCTTGCGAATTGGATTTACAAGCTCAAAACCCTGCATCAATCTCCAGTAATGTCGATTCGCAGTATCAAATGCTTTCCTACTCACTCCAAAAGCTTCTGCGGTCGTATGTGTCATAGTTTGTCATTGACGCACCATAACTACCTTCCTCTAAATTGATTTTTCTGGTAAGGCTGTCTGTACTTCTCTCACTGCTTTCCAAAGTTTATCTTTCTAACCACTTGCATCAACAGCCTGTAATAATACATCAGGAGCTTTTGGTAACAGCCTAGAACATAGCACTCCTAAAGCTTTCTTACAAAATTTAACAAACCAATCTCTTTGTAGCCGTAGTTGATTTGGCGAGTACAAGATTCATGTCTTTATTACCCATGCCATCAGAACAATCCATGTCACCACTTACTTGCATTATTAGAATTGGATTTTCAATATCACTTGAACTTCTCATGTCATTAGTGTAATCGATGTTATCTTTTTGCCATTGTCATGCTAACACTGCTTTCTTTGCTACACTCATAGGTTGCTTTCCTCCAGCAGGACATCATAATTTGACTTGTGAATCTAATCCATCACATCCACAACCACATCTAATGCACTTAAAACATGTAGCACAGCACTTAACTTTACATTTTAATGGCTCCATTTCTTACTAATCTATGCCTCAGAATTATGAGCAAAATCATGATGAAGATCACCCTCAGATCACCCCTGAAGACAAAAAAGGTCGCAATTTATGTCTTTTTTCCAATACAATTCAGCTACAAATTTTAACCAATCAAAAGCAATTATGGGGATGACTTGAAAATTTGGCTCTGCAAAACTAGTCTCCCTAGCTCATGGAACCACTGTTAAATATCAGAAAAGCTTATTATTATTTACTATAACATTTGGCTATGCCTACTTGTACCTGTAGATAAAAGATTCATGTATTCAGAGATAATGTTTATTACTTCAACTGCACATGTAAAGTATTTTGGTAATAAGAATTTCTTACACATTACATGAAACAGCTTATGAAGCTCGAAAGAACCTTTGGTGGGTTTGTCTACAATTTATTGTTAAAATTGCATATCATTTCTTTATTTTTAATAAGTAGCAAATTTGATATTTACTACTTACTCTAGAACAAAAGATTATAAATATAAAGCAAACAATACTGTAAAAAACTGGTTACTTGAAATACATCTTAGTAGGGAAATCTAGTCTTAAACTCTCAAACTTCACTTTAAAAAATAAAATGATTAAGACCCCTTTAAAAAAATATATAAAACCATTACTGCAATGACTGAAATTAGAGCACTACACAGTTTCAGCATAATTCTAATCACTGTATTGCTTGTTTTTTGATTCCTAATAAGTAGCACATTAAACTTTGGCAAGAGAAAAATAACTCGCACCTTTTTTCACACTTTTGTTAACCAAACATTATTTTCATAACATTTATAGAAGTCAGTTTTCACTATCAACAGTCAAAAAAGGGCATGATATCTCTTTATTCAATCTAACACAAATACTATAATACACTAGCATGCACTTGAAGGAGATGTTATAAACATTTATAAGTGGCCATAAAAGAATGACCCTAAATATAGACAACAAGTAGTAAATTCTATACAATATAAACAAAATATTTCCTGAAACAGTGAAAAAACAACAACATGAAAATATTGCTTCACACAGTGTTGTGAAAAGTTTATCTCCTCAACCAGTGCCAAATCACAAGAAAACTGTGGGTTTCATGCAGTACTATAAAAAGTAAATACTCAAAAAGCAGCAAAATACAACAAAATATTGTTCCACACAGTGTTATAGTAAAAAGTCTCACTCTTCAAGCAGCAGAAAAACAAAAGACAATTCTACGTTCCAAACATTAAATAAAGTATTTTAACTTCTTCAACAGTAAACAGAAAATTATTGTACATCATACAAAAATAAAGATTTTAACTCTTCATGTAGCAGTAAATACATCAAAACCATTATTTTCCACACAATATAAAAATACAAAAGTACCTGTTCAAACATGTCAGGAATATCATACACATATGTTGTCCCATTGGATTGGGCTTGAAATCTCTTCAGTTGCAGATAGTCTTTGGTCATGTATGGTGTAGATATAGGAAGGTCATGCAGAGGTCCTTGTTTTGGACCCCAAGCTTCAAATTTGATCTGTCCTGTCACTGGGTCTACTGATTCTTTGTACAAACTAATATCCAGGTAATAGCCACTCTCATTGGCCAGAAACAGGCGAATGGGAAAACATTTCCCATTAGGATTCAACCTAATGACAAATACAGTTCAATACCATTTATTTATAAAAAGAAAACTTAATACTTTTGTGTAATCAGGAAATACAGAGAGTACTTTTATATATGGTAAACACTTTAAAGATACCCTTATGATGAATCACATAAAATAATTAACTACTTTACCAAAATTAATTTCACAGAAATATTACACCTTGGTTATGTACTGTTGTACCAGAAGAATAACAATATTATAAATAAAACAAAAATATAACAGTACTAGAAACTAATGTTGAAAATAAACACTTTCATACAAATATAAACAAAGTTTTTGATGCAATTCAGTATTACAGAAAATGTATGCACACATATTGAAATATTCAACAGTAACAAACACTGATAATGAGGAGAAAAATATACTTGTTCATTATTAATCTTTCTTAAACATCAATACACTCCTTCACTTCTCAAACTTTAAAACTTGTAGATACAAGCATTCTATTTACAACCTTGTAAGTATCATATTGCACACAGAATTTTGAACACTGTATCTACCCACAGATCTACTGGTTTATTTCTAGATACTGTTTGACTCCTAATGACTCTTTTATCTATACCTTTGTTGGTAAAGATTATATAACACACCTGATGATCATTTTGAGTTCTGCTTGTAACACTCTTAGTCTCCAAAGTCTGGATCCATACCGCATAACCATACTTCTGACATTTTCTGCAATCTTTATGTAAAATACATATATTACATCACTAAATATGAAAATATGTCATAATGAAAATATAACATTTTGTTTAAGTAGGATGTTCTCTTCTCAAGTCAATGGGAAATCCTTCAAAACCTAGGTTTTTATTACAAGGGTAACTAGATGTTTTTTGCATTACAGCTAAAGTCTCAATGGCAATGAAATTTTTTATACTCAGCATCAACTTAAGTAAAACTAACTTTAATGTTATATATATATATATATATATATATAACTGTATAACTTTTTTAACATAAAACATTAATTATTTCTCATCTGGTAATTTTAACTAATTTTGATTGCTTGTATCAATGAAAAAACAAAATAATAATTATATACATACTTTTTTCAATTAAAAAAAAGAATCCAAGTATTCTAATAAGTGTGAAAAACATTTCATAATACTTTAAATAACAATATTAAACTATTATCTCATATGATAAAACCCACCAACAAATTTAACTGTCTAAATCATCTATTAAAGTGCAGATAAACTGACTGTGAATTAACCCTATATAAACACTACCATTACAGTTAAAAGCCTTCAAATGTTGAGACTAGTAAACTATAAATTAACCAAATAATCAATTCATACTCAAGTTTTTTGTTAAATGGATTAAATATGAAAACAATAAATTGAATCTTCCATCTAATTGTTAAAATCCCTCTAGCACAGCTAAACTAAGTTGTATTAAGCTAACAATACATTCTGATTCAACATTAGATACTGATATAAAAGTCTTCATGTACTAATACAGTAATAATAAATGTAACCCAATAATAAACAGGGAGGTATAAAAATCCATTAAATGTGAACAAGGTAACAATGAATTATTCCAACAATAAAATCAGACTCAACTTTCATCAGTAAATGCCACTACATAATGTTTGTTTCTTTCTTATTGAACAAATCCATATTGGGCTGCATGCTGTGTCTAACATGGGTAATTGAAACCCGGAATTTAGCACTATAAGTCTATAAACTTATTGCTGTCCCACCAAGGGACACATAAGGTTATGAGGTGATACAAGACTGACTAGCCTGTTTTCAGTGACATTTTATATAAACTTATATAACTGGAAGAAGTTTCAAATCAGATATAAAGTATGAAACTGGTCTGAAAGGTAATTAAAAATTGTAAAGTTAAACTTCAAGCAGTACCAGAGAACAGTAGACATTAAACATTAGAAATTTTTTTATGTGGTTTTCTATTAATGGTATGGTTCCTAAGTGTCATTGCAATATATTTTGTTTGAAAATACAAAAAATGTTAAAATTGTTGTAGTCTGTTAAACCAGTGAAGACCTTTTGGCCAAAATGGTGATCACATAATTCTTGTCTCTTGCATCATTTTGAGAAAAACTTTTATCAAATTTTGTTAGGTTGTGGCACTTGTTATCTAGTAGAGAACAATATAGGTAATTTTGGAAGATTTCTTCTATGTACTTACTTTGGAAGGATCCATGGTGACTTTTGGAACAAAATTTAAGAAAATGTGGTTGCAGTCTGTTCTTTTTGCCTAAGACATGAATATTAAAAGGACGTTAGTATAATAATCATATAAGACAGCTAGTTATAATAACACTTCATATCCTTGGCATGTAAATAAATAAATAAAAAAATTTAAAAGTTTGCAAGAGGTTCAGTTAGGCTTGATAAACACAACCAGTCAGAATCAAATAGAAAGCTCAAAGTGGCCAATTAGACAAGAAAAACGTTAAGCAGAATATTTAGGTCTTCACAAGAAGTGAGCAACTTGACTTCAATTTTCAATTAGAAAATGTAATAGGTTTCAACTTCTAGCTGTGCATGCAAAATATAAACAACTTCAAAAGAAAAAAAAATGCTACATAAGGTAAAGTTTCTCTTCCATCTCATTCATGGTGTTAAAAACAAGGCTAGATTTTTACTACACTAAAGTCATTTTAGTCATTAAATATGATTCGCTATTATGGCAATCCATGTAAAGCATTTTGGATAACAAGTTTTTAAATATAATTATTTTAACACTGCCTGTATCTGCAAACTGGGTAAGCTCATGTTGGTCAGAAATATATTTTTTTATGGTTCCTTCTTTTTTGAGCAATATCATTTGACAAAAACAACAATTTAGCCTATTTTTAGCTTCAGTAGACTGCCAACTGCTATAAATTGATGGATAAAAATTGCAGACAACTGTTGAAAAAACTGTGATTCTAGTTCAAAATGGAACCTTTACCTTGCAAATGTAAAAAGGCTATATGTTCAAAATGTTTAGCATTATCTTGTAGTTGTGAATGTGATGAATTATCAATTTCTGCTAAATTGAGTTGCAGACATGAGGAAAAGCAGCCAAAAAGTGTATTGACAAGTACTAATAATGTGACAAACTGTAAAAGAAAATGACCACAATGTTTGTTTGCTTTTGAGCATAAAGTCACACAATGAGCTATCTGTGTTGCACCCACCACAGGTATTGGAACCCAATTTTTAGAGTTATAAACTTTCAGACTTACCAATAAGTCAGTGGGAGGCAAAGAGAATCTTATGAATATTAATGGTGAAGTTGTATGTGATGAAAATGACATTTTGGCCTTAACTGAAGACAGTGATGATGACAAAGAAAGAGAATATGTCATGCAAAAATGCAAATAATGTCAGAGATGTTTTCAAAACAGATGCTCTTTAGCAAGAAATTTACCAAAGCATAAATCATGTGAAAGTGAACCCTTTAATTCTATTCATAAAGCAAGTCATATAATTACCTTCAGCACTAAAGAAAACATGCTCTATTTTGTTACCCAATGATGCAGACCAATTATTGCTTAATATAGGAAAATACACCATAAAAGATTGCAGAGAAACCAAAGAAATCATGTACTTCACTTCACTTTCTCCCTTAACCCTTGGGGTCATTGGGGCACCACTGACAACTTTGCAACCAGCTCTCTCCATCTTTCCCGGTTTTCTGGGAGTTGAAGAACTCCAGGCCTGTCCACTCTTTGATGTTGTCTTCCCACCTCTTCTTCTTTTTCCTCTCACGATGCCTTGCAAGATGGTCTTTGCCAAGCCAGATGATCGTGAGATGACCATACCACTTCAGATTGCATTTTTTGACAGTGGTCAAGAGATCTTCGTATGGTCCATTAGCTTGTTGGATCTTGTTGTGGATCTCTTCATTGGTAACGTGGTCTTTTTATGAGATGTGCAAGATCTTCCTGTAGCAACTCATTTCCATGGCCCATATTCTTCTTTCTAGATCTGCTGTGAGGGTCCATGTTTCACAAACAAATGGAAATATGGATATGACAAGGGAGTGCAAGGGCCTAATTTTGGAACAACGAGTGATGTTGTTGTAGTTCCATATTGGTTTCAACCTTGCCAATGCTGTTGTTGTCTGCGCAATCTTGAAAAGTATCTCAGGTTTGGAACACTCATCTGTGAAAATTGATCCCAAGTATTTGAAACTTTTTACTGTTTCAAGTCTTTGTCCATGTACACTGATCTTAATGCTGATGCCGTCAGAGGGTGGGTGAGAGTAGGCATTCTTGTTGAACTCCAACCACTGTTTGAAACCAGTCCCCTAAGCTGCAATTTATGAGGACTTTACTCATGGCCTTGTCATAAAGTTTTTCAATGAATTGAACAAGCTTGGGACTGATATTGTACTTCCTCATGGTTGCCCATAAGGCTGCATGCCATACCCTGTCAAAGGACTTCTTGAAATCTATGAAGACATGATAAAGGTCTTGTTGATGTTTCTCACAAAGGATCCTAAGATTCAAGATCTGTTCTGTGGTGTTTCGTCCTGCTTGAAACCCTGCCTGTTCTTTAGCAATGATCTTTTCTGCTTGGGGCTTGAGTCTGTTTAATATGATCTTTAACATGATTTTACTTGGGTGACTGATGAGGCTGATTGCTTGGTAGTTTTGGCACAGCTGTAGGTTGCCTCTCTTGGGAAGCATGATGATGACCATACACTGGGTCTAAAGGGTGGGCCATTCTCCTGTCTGCCAGATCTTATTGCAGATTGTTGTGAGAGCAGTGATCCAGTTCTGCTGGTATGTTGTCAACTCCAGCTAACTTCCCTTTCTTCAGTGATTTTACTGCATTTTCTATTTCTTCCCAAAGTATAGGGTAGTTGTCCTCTTCAGTTGTTTGAGGGCAGTGTAATACCATTGAGTCTCCGTTGCTTTTGTGATTGTATAGTTCTGAGCAATATTCTGTCCACTGATGGAGGATCTCTTTCTCTTCTATAAGACATTTTTCTGATTTGTCTTGGATGGTAGTGGTTTGCCCTTGTTTTACAGTTGTTAGGTCTTTTACAAGTTAGTATGCTTTTTTACTGTTGTTCTTATTCAAGTTTTCTTCAATTTCATTGCACTGTTCTTCTATCCAGTTCTCCTTTGCCTTCTTCATGCCTTATTTTTTGTTGACATCACTGGGCAGACATCTTCCTCAATGAAGTCAACGGCCACACGTTCGGGACAAGGGCATGCCACATTGTATGGTGGATTTCGGCTGTGGTCAACCAACTGGGAGAGGAGATGGGATACCACCAGGTTGCAACTGCCTAAGAGACACCACATGATGACAACCAATACTCAACCCATACCCGATTGGTCCCATCTCAGGTTACCAATGGCCATGCCTTCTGCTTTACACCAGGATAGAGGTGATAAGTATGTTACTGGTGCTCTGACACCAAGTTCCATGGAAGAAACAACATCACCATCAGTACATGGAATGTAAGGACTTTAAAAGCCGCATGGAAATTGAAAAGCTTACACATGAGATGGACAGCTACTGCTGGAACCTCCTTGGACTCTGTGAGATGCATTGAAAACACTATGGGCAAACGTCAAGTGCGGAAGGACACAAAATTTACTTCAGTGGTAAAGAGGACAAACATGAACATGGCATTGAATTCCTTGTACATAAAAACATTGTGAACACTGTTATGGGTTTCCACCCAGTCTCCAGCAGGCTCATCACCATCTGCCTGAGGGCAACACCATTCAAAATCACAACAATATAAGTGTATGCCCCAATGCCTGACTATGACGACAATGAGATGAAAGACTTTTACAACCAACTGCAGGTCCTAATAGATCAATCACCCAAAAATAACATCCTTGTAGTAGAAGGAGACTGGAATACAAAAGTTGGTAAGGATCCACAGACGAACTGGCAAACCAACTGTGGATGGTTCTGCAATACTGAATTAAATGAAAGAGGACTCAGACTCTTGGAGTTTGCCACACATAACAACCTTGCATTGGTTAATACTTTTGGTCCTCACAAATCATCCAGAAGATGGACCTGGCACAGTACAGATGGACAAAATCACAACCAGATTGACTACATCATGGTCAAAAAGCACTTTCGAACAGGAGTCAACATTACCAGAACACAAAGTTTTCCAGGAGCAGATATCGGAAGCAATCATGGCTTTTCATCTCCATCTGAAAAAAATCATCAAACCAAACCACAAAACACACAAGAATCAAGTTTCAACTTGAGAAACTGAAGGACCCTGATATGGCAGAAGCCTTCCAAGCAATGACTGGTGGGAAATTTGCACCTATTCCCATCCTGGGTGACAAAAATACAGACCTAGATTTGATCATAGACACCTTCAACACAACAGTGACTGATGCAGCCAACAAGATCCTTGGCAAGTACCATCGGACTAAGAAACCCCAGGTGACACCAGATATTCTGGACCTATCTGACAAAAGAAGAGAATTGAAAAAGATAAAAGGCAATCCTGAAGGAGTGCAAAAATACAAAAACCATATATAGTAACAACTTAAAGAAAACTATACCTGAAGTACAATAAAATCTTCTGCTGCTTTTAACCAGTGAAAGATGTTAGCAGCTCCACTGTGTGCTTCACTACAAAATGAAGTTTTCCATTTGTGTAAAATCAATATCAAAACCCAATACACTATATGATGTTTTAGGTTGTTACTGTAAATGCATTCTGAATGAGGCTGTTTACAACTGCATTCCTAATACACAGCTAATATTAGTTGATTCATCAATCTTTTGGTAGCCATATCTTCATTTATACTTAACACATTGCTTTAAAAAAAAGTGTGAAATCCTTAACATTAGTATTTACATTTAGTATCAGTTCCACAATCAAATTCCAAGATCAATTTCTATTGATCCTTCCCCTAGTACAGAATGTTACCCAATTTGCCAGCAATAAGAAATAAGGATCTGACATATTTTGTGAAGGGTGTCAATGATATCCTTCTCACAGTGGAAATACTTAATCCACTTGTATGAAACTTACTAAAAGCTTGTTGCTGAATAGTATCTAGTTTTGACAAAAACATTCCCATAATTTATGTTTGTATTTCTATCATTATTTAGCTTGTGAGATTTCCAAAACTTTGTTGTGAGACACTCTTTGAATATCAGTTATTGATCATTTTATACATCAAATCAGTTTCAACTTGATTGATATTCATAAACAAATTTATTTTGATACGTTATATTACAAATTGCAGAAGTCACAACTTCTAGCTCTCAATCATAAAACATGTGGCAAAAACTGACAAAGACTTACCAGTGACCTGGACCTGACTTTTCAAAATGGTGTCACCATTACCTTTGTCAGGCTAGGTATCATGATATTTGTTAAAAACAAGCTTGATCAAGATCAATTTATAACCAATAAATATAGTTTCTTTTCAATGAATAGTAAGTCCTTTTATTTGTATGTATTGTTTGAATATGATAAACATAGCAATAATATTCAATAAATATGGATTTAAGCCACTAGAATATTTTACCATCACATTATCATACTTGTTTAACTTAACTTACCTGATATATTTTCAAATAAAAAAATTTCTGTGACTTTCATACAGATATAATCTATAACATTTTAAGAACAAAAAAGAAAGTCTCAAATGTTACCAACAAGTAGAATATCAAGACAAATGCATCAAAACATAATCCCAGAAATTATAACTAAATGTGAACTAACAAGATCTAAATATAACCTCATACCTTTACTACTACAGCAAAATTTTAAATGAAAAGGACTGTTCTAAACACAATTACTTACTTACCTTTCACAAAATGGCAAGATTCTTCTAATCATAAATGTTATATGCATACTCCATACAGTCTTGCTACATATATATCTGTTACATAAACATTCCATACTACATCTGTTATATGGATTTAAATCAATACATAAAGGTTTTACATATACATTCTATACATATATATTGTTTCATCGTCTCTCCACAAGCACCTTTTTCCATGCATGTCATGATGTTTGAGTTACATTCAAAATTTAACTTACCTACTTTCTTTTCATGGTATACCAATAAATATAGAAAAAAAAACATAGCTAATAATCCATAACTTAATAGTATATAAGTTTATAGTTCTTGATTTTATAAGGCGGTATTTAAAAAAAAATCCTGAATTCCCCTAGTATGAGAATTGTGACATTTTCTTTTTAGGTGTCCTCTCTTCTCTAATTTATTTACTACCCCTCCACAAAGTATGGAACTTAACATAAATTACTCACTATATTCAGACAAAGCATAATTTTTATAACCTTCAATCTTATTTGGTTACAGAGCCATAAAATAGAAAATCAGACCCTGCTTGCTATGCCTACCTGTCAAATCCCCTCTTTCAGAAATTGCCAATAGTTCTCTCTGATGTTCAATACTATATTATTTATAAACAACAGAAAGCCAAGGTTTTAATCTATCAAATGATGTATTACATCACGTTTTCTGTACAGAGAATTGTCAGTTTTGCTTTATTCCCATGGGAAACATACTGAAAAGCTCAGATTCATTTTTAACGGCTTTTATCACATAGCCAAAAAAATGTTAATAGTTATGGGACATTGTCCACTTTTTGCATGTTTGAAATTTATTCAGGTGGTTTTTAGAGATTATGCAAATGAAATTTAAGATTTTTGAGATTAAAAAGTATTTTTAATGTTAACATGGAAAAAATCACTTTGCACTTGGACTAGTAAAAAAAAAGAAAAAATGAGTGTTTTGAAAAAAGTAATGTGTGAAATAGTAAACTTTATAACAAAATAAGAAAGCACCACAAATTCATCCATTCTTCTAAATTACAGAATTTAGCCCAGATAGGTCAGAGATGTAAAAAGTGTCAACTTATAAAATGGACTTCATAAATTACTTTTAACATAAACATCATGGCTCTGAAGACACTTGTAAATTTAGTCACACATAAGACATGGTTTTTGAGAAACTCACATGTGTATGATTAAAAGCCACTTCTAGTTCATCCATGGCTTCAAGCAAAAGTCTTTCTCCTTCATTTTGCAAATACTCATAAGATGCTTCCTGTAAAAAAAAACACAAAAACATTACTCTCCGTACAGTGTAAGGACACTTTAGTTCAGCAAGTGTTCTTTATTCTAAAGAATGTCTTAGAGTTTAAAAAGCATTAGTTTTCAGAAATTGGTGTAGCTATATGGGAAAAATAATCTAAACAAAAAGACATAAACAAATTTTTACAAATAACCAATGAATATGGTTAATTCTAAAGCCCAGCTATTATGCAATAGGCAACAATTTTCTTTGCTCATAATACATATTTAAAATAAACTCTCACTTGTCACTAGATGTGAACAGAAAATATTACTATTTCATCTTTACAACCAAATACTAGAAGCTGTTTACCACATATTGTTAATACTTCAGTAAAAGTTGTACAACTAACACATGAACAATTTCTAGCACATAATAATGAATTATATGCCAAAATAATTTTGTTTACTTACTCAACATTCCAAGTAAGTAATACCCCTATGAATATCATAGTAGTAAAATGTAGGATTCATTTGAAGTACTAATGAAAGAATTATGCATGAAGACGTTAAAGATTGTATTTCCATTTAAAGAAGATCAAGTGACTAAGTTACTCGAAAAACAGTCATTGGATAAGCTGGAAGAAATATATTCTACTTGGATCATGTATTACATGTGTAAATATCAGCAAGTATTATAATATTTCATCTGTATAATTTCTTTTCCATTCAAACTTTCATATTTATTCACTTTCAAAAACTATAAATACAGGTACATAAAGTTTAGCATTTACCCTAAATGTAGAAATATAGAAGTGGCACATTACCCTATGAAATTAGAATTTTTCTGAGAATGTGAACATTGAGATTTGGCAAGACTAAGAACCATGGCTCTGCCAACAAGGCATCTAAACTACCAAGTACAGAATGCTCCAAACTTTAGTTGGGCCTTGAATCAACTATATGAATGTTTTCCAGAGTGGTATCCAAGTTGACGATCTACATTGAAACATGTACTTGTAGAGATATTTTAAAGTGTATGATGTACGGCTTCAATAAAGTTTTTATTGTGTAAATATAAAACGTTGTTTTTAATTAATTATCTACTATAATTTAAAAAAAAATAATAATTTTTTTTGGAGTAATATGAAAAGTAATAAATTAGAGTAGATCATTAACCATGCCGACTGATATCCAATAATTAAAACCTTACCATAAGTATCAACCTGTGAAGCCTCGTGAAAAAACTGAAATAACTACACAATTAGCAGACCACTTGGTTCATCACAACTTTCACTTCTTTATAAAAAGTCTAATTACAAATAGTTTTCCATCGTAATATTTTATATAATCTCAAGTTTCGAGCAGTCCAGCTATTCTGAATGGTTCAACTACATACATTAAGGAATGTTTCACTGAAAAATTGCAACATTTCCAAGAAACTTAAGCTAATCTGTGCTTTTAATTTTATCCTTACTGTGAGATACTACCTCTTGTGATAAGCTTTTTCAAAGTTTATAATTTTTAACTGTATTCAAATTACAAAAAAGCAAAAAAACACTTTACTTCTACAACTTAACAACTATGAAAATATTTTCAGACCTAGCCTATTGTTGAAAGAAAATAGAAAATCTTACCTTTGTCACAAGATCCGAATGTCTGATTATAGTACGAACAAAAAACCTGTAATCTGTCACCTCTTGTCCTTTTGCCACCTAGAAAAAATAAAACATTAAATAAATAACTGCATATACTCATTCTAGCCAAAGTTAGATATTTTAGTATTCCCGTACATTTTACATAAAAAAACTAGATTTGATAAGAAATATGAATGAATCAGAATTTATTGATACTGTATGAAGAAATATTTGAAATTCACAAACTTACCATGTTCTTCCACACTCTGGTAACAAAGATTCAGATTTAAAACGTTTTCTTTCATAGTTCTAGTCAAGTAGTTATTACAAACATTTTTAATAATATAAAATTGAACTGAACCACAGCTTAATTTATAGTGATCTTGAAATGCATTAAAGTAAATATAACACTATATATATATAATCCTTTAAGTACTTAACTCCATTAATTTTTAACAATAATTTTTATTTCAAATACACAAACTTTTTTTTATTCACTATTATGCAATAAGGCTTGATTTCAATACCTTACTGAGTTGTAGAATTTTTTTGAAACACCTAACTAATTTTTCCTATATGGTAGGTTAAGGGTGCATAATATTACCAGTATATTGCAGCATTGTCTGTCACAATACATGTATCATGACATAACCTTCCTGAACCAATATTTGGTGATAATCTTAAACTTTATCCTAAAGTCTATAATATTTAAAAAACTGTAAATTAACATCAAAAAGATAAAAACTAATACACATCTGTCACACCTTTAACTAGTTATTTGCACAGGCTGCCTCAACTGAAAGTAACCACTGTTCTTACTTACAGGTCCTGCAAATATTATATGCATGTACTTTGCATTACAGGTACAACAAAATTGCCTTTAAATAATTTCCTAATATAGTTACATTCATGAAAAAAGTATTTAAACAGTTAAAAAAAGAAACCAATATATTTCAGTTATAATCAGTGTTGCAGATATTTACACTTAAGGTTGATTACATTCAATTCTCTACCGATAGATATGAGAATGATGGCTTAGTGACATCAGCAAAACTTTTTTTGCTTTTAAGTATTTAGGCTAACCCATTAAATTATCCCAGGTATATTTTATGCTGAGAACATATTAACACCAAATAAAGTGTGTCCCCAATTCTAAACTTGGTTATAACAAAACATGGCAATATAACTTAAATATATATATATATATATATATATATATATATCATAAGTCTACCTTTGGTATACCATAGCTACATGTTTGGAAATATATGCTGTCCAGATTTAAACTTTAAATAAATGCTGCTGCTGTAGTCCCGTTTTATACCATGAATATATTCCATCTAACCATTAAAATAACACACTCAAAATATTGCCATATGTTTGACATATATCACAATAAGAACATTTTGACAGTATTTACCATTGTTATGCAGTAAGATTTGATCTAAATACCATTCAGACTTAAACAATTTTACTTACCACCTTAGAGTTCATATTTATATTCAATACAAATTTTAGCATTGTAATACATTATAATCTATTTAACATCATTTTTTGTAATAAGCAACCAATTCCTTTGGCAAAAACACCTTTCTTAAAAAAAAGAAAAACAAACAAAAATATTGGTTTAGCAAAATAGATATATGGAGGATATTTTGTGCTAAACTTAACAAAACATAAACACAGAAAGAAATAAATAAACAAATATAGAACTAAATAAATGTGGAAATACATAAATGTCTATAAGTATATTTACGTATTCCTACATTCGTCTATTTATTTCTACATTTGTTTTCTTCCACAGTTTCTAAAAGCTTTTTAAACTTACATCTTCACTTCACCTTTTCTATTCTATCTTGCTTTTTACATTTCCTTGTTGCAACGAAATTTGTGTCAATCAAAAGGAGTGGGTGGGACCATTAACAACACTGACTGACCACACAGATTATTTCGACCCCAGTCTAAACTAACCGACTGACGATGCGTGAACCAGTTACTGTACAAAGAAAATGTTTCTTAGAGACAATGTCTAATACAGTAATGAGAAGTGCAAAGATGGAATAGTCATTTTTTAACCTTCTCTGCACAGCAGTAGATATCCTACAAAATGATCATGACAATACTGGCAGTAATGTCAGATCTCAGGTACCTCCGAATGTTTCAAACATATCCTTTACTACAGTACAAAATATTGTTGGCAGTAAGTATGCCTTCCCTAGCCTTAAATATGGCAAAATAGTTTGTTGATATTTTTAACAAAGCAAAGAAAAGCAAGACTCGGAGATTTTTGTCTAAACTTATAAACCAGGTTTGTATTTTTATTTAGCTGCAATTACTTGTAATTTTAAATAATGTACCAGTAATTTTGCCTAATATTAAAATTCAAGCACTCACAGTTTATTTCAAATACAAGGCCTACTTCATTCATGGCATCACACATATTTCCATTCAATATATTATCATATGGAAAACACATAGGAATTGTACAATTTTTACTTTTCATTTGTTACTTTACCACAGTTGCTTAAAATAGAGAAACTATGTTTTTTTTCTATGAGATGAAAACAATATGTTCATGCTCTGTTTATTAATGTTTTTGCATTGGAAAGGACTGTTACTTACACTTCCCAAAAAATGTTCAATATTTGATGGTATCACAATAACTACAAAAGGTTAATGTAAAAATGTAGTTCTGATATATTCTATTCTACAAGGTATTTATATCAACTATGGCTGTCATATGATTCGCAGATTTACATATTCCATATCATTTTAACTCAATCTTCTGTACCAGAATTTTAGGCAGTTCGATATTGATTCTTATTTTACAGAAATATTTGTATTCAAATCCAATGTAATATTTTTTCAGTTTTTATATTACATCTAGTGGTTTCTAACCTTTGCCTTTCCAAGATACAGGTGCATTTTTTGATTAGCTGTTGAAATAGCCTCTAGTTCATAGTTACAAAGACGATTCATTTCCAGCTGGAAAGCTAAGGCTGGTTCCAGATGTCGATATATACGGTCTTCCTTGAACTGTGGAAAGATGTTTTGGTGTTACACATATGATCTACAAAGTTCTACACAATACAAACATTACAACTTAGCATTATTATCATCTAGAAGATGTTTAACAACCTGACACACAAGCTTATATCCAGTTTAAAACATCAGGATTACCAAAAAATCAATATCTTAAATTATAAGCAGCCCAAAATTTATGAAACATTTTAAAGAGCTTACATGATCTGAGATCAAAATTTTATACTTTATACTATTATTTTTATTATTTGTATATGTATTCACAAAAGATACTTCCTTATGGAAATGCAAAAACTAAAGATTAATTTACATAGTATATACATCACTTTAAATTTTATAATCACTCTAATAAAATAAATAACTTGTGTTGGTTTTTGTAACAATCTGTACATTGTATTCAAGGCCAGCCCTTGGAGGTGGCAAAATATATCCCCACACAGGACACCCACTCCAAGAGGCACCAAAACTGACATTGCAATTAGCAGTTCTTGTATATTTTGAAGGGGCACTAAATACAAATTTTACACAGGCCACAATTTTGCCTATGACTAGCACTGATCATATTTGTCACAAAGAACTGCACATGTACAAAACTAAATATATAACACAGTGAAACAATGAACAAATAAAACTAGTCTTAAATGAACATGTTCATTTGTTTTAAATAAACAAATTGAGTTGAAAACACAGAACTCACCCCATCTCTTTCTCTGTAAGTAAAATATTTGGGAAAGTTATGCTGAAAGAGAAATTTTTCAGTTTTTTATTTATTTAAAGACACATTTTTTTCTCATTATAAATAAAGCAATAAACAGAATAAAATCTATGTGAAAAACATTTAATTTTTTACAAACTAGTTTTCATATTACTACATATATCACAACTATTGTATGAATAAAAGATAACCAGACTAGAGTCTACTTTTTATTGTATGACAAAACTTCTTTTCTGTGACTGAAAATGAAACCTAAATCTACTACTATTCACTGAATGATGTATTTTACTAATAGGGAATATATTTTTATTTTCCAACTGTGAATTACATAATGAAAATGTTTAGCAAATATTATTAAATTTTTTATGTCAAAGTATTTACTGAAACTGAAAAACAGAATCAAATCATACACCGCTAAAAAGATTCAGAATAAGGTTTGAAGACAATGGGTTTGTATATGATGCTATATGTAATTCTGAGGCTACAAATTAATACTGAATCACTTATACTGTATGCAGTCCTAACAACAACAATAAATTTTACTTTACTTAAATAGAACCTAAAAATAATTGTTCCCTGAAATTACAAGTAAACTTCTGACAGCCTACTAAATCTCAAGTAGTTAATTAGAAACCACAAACCCCTCTTTTTCTTCAAACTTACCTTCTGCAAAACAACAAATGTAATTCTTCTTAAAAGTTTTTCAATCAACTCTGCTTTCTATGGACAAATAAAAACTGTTTGTTATGACTAAAATTACAAAATTAAATACAAAATTTTATGAAAACAATATCTGAAAATCAACTATTTAAAAAAAAATGTCAAAAAAAAATTTGTTTGATCACATCTCAGTTCAACAGTTGTCTGAAGATATGCAAGTAACACTACCATCCACCATGTTTCACTTAATTTATTGCTAAAGTTGAAGGTTTGCCAACCAGCAGAAAATATGCAAAGTTTAAAACAAGTAATTTTTTCTTAAATGTAAGAGTCAGTCAGCATCTAGCCATATATTCAATAATATTTGGATACGAGAAAAATTGCATACAAAACTTTTATTCTCACATCATCACTTAGTAAAGTCTGATTCTATATAGAAATTAATATGGAAGAAAACAAAGATATTAACCATAAGTATTCTTGTAAAATTAAATCTAGTTAAAGAAATGTAGAATTACTTTAACAATTACTCAGTTTATAAACTAGACATGCATAATAATTATTCATGTTGTACTTAAAGCCTCACTATAGCAGAAAAAAAAATTAATAAGTATACTGTGTTATCAAAAATACATAGAAATTGTAAAAAAAAAATCAAATGAAGACATAATTTGCATTCATAATTTTTATAATATTTGGTTTTGTTTATAATTGTTAAAAACAATCTTGCAAGACATCTGACCACTGGACTAGTGGTAGAAATACAATATATACATTATGTAAAAACTGCTGTAATAAACTAAACAGTATTCAAATAACAGTTACAATGTCATATACCAAACATAAGCATTATGGTGCAAAGCAAGTATGCATATGGAAATTTCATCACAGTTTATAAGAATAAACTGTACCTACAAGTACAGTGTTGTATTTCTACAGATTAGGAGACAACAAACACAGAAAAAATGTTACAGCAAAGGATTTAGGAAAACAAGAGACAGTAAAACATAATCTAATCTGTAAAATAAAGGTTCAGGTTATGAATGAAAATTCTCCAACCAAAAAAAAAAATTCATTGTGATGAAGCTTGGCATATCTTATGATATCCTTAACAAATACAATAAGCTAATTATCCAAAAGTTTGCAAATTTCCAGCTATACCTTAAAATCAATGGCTGTTGTCATTAAAAAGATGACAAAAAAAAATTGAATCAGAGTGATCCTATTCAACCACATGCTTATCAACTCTCTTGATGCAGTAATATACTTTAGTTATACTTAAGTATGTTCTTGGAAGTTGATATCCACATACAGTGCAGAGTTTGAGAAAGGTTTGTCAAAATATGTAGTATAAGAATAAATGCCACTGCACTTAAGAGAATTCTGTTACAATGAAAATTACAGCCACAAATATTGTTAACAGCATAGGTATGTAATTAATAAAACAATGCATTAGTTATAATCACAACAAGTGTTGTGTTGAATTTTAGTTTTGATCTAAGTAAGCAGCTTGCTCTGATCAGAGATTAATAGTAATATCAGGAGAAAGAACTAAAACATGGCCATTAGATCAAACATAACCGGCAAAAGAAGTAATGGTTTTAAGAGCAACAGAGACCCTGGATCATTTTTATAAAGTGTAGATAACCCTGAAATACATTTAAAGAAGAGCTTCAGTTTTGTTATCCAGTGCTACTTTACTTAATGAAATATAATTTATAAATCTAAACTCTTACCTTTTCTGCACAAAATGCATAAAACATTTCACTTAAGGTTTCATCTTCATCTTTTTTTGACATCATAACGGCAACGTTAAGAATATGCATCGGTTCAATCTGCATAAAAAGTTACGGATAAGTTTACATCATGCATAATAACAGTGCAAAAATTTAGTTAGAAATTAGATAATTTTTATACCCAATCAACAGTTAGATGTAATAACATATTTAAACATAAATAAAGATTTAAAAAAATATGAACTGTTAGTACAGCTTCCTAACACACCCATTTAACAACTGGTAAATGAGTATTACCATTCACATGCAAGTTTTGTGTTTTAATGTTTATATGATTAAAGGTACAACTGTTGCAATTTTTTTCCAGTTAACTGATAACGCAAGGGGAACAGTGATATCATAAATTATTGCAACAGACTAAGAAAGTGGAAAAGGTTATAATACCATTTATTCAGTTAGGTAAGAAAGGATTGGGACAAAGCCCAAACATACCATACTTTTAAAAGTGGTTGGTATTTCAAAAAGTCAAGAGTCTCAAAGGCTTATAATATATTAACTAATAAAGGAAAGTGGTTAAAAATGTCAAATGGTAAATTAAGGAGAAAAAAGATCTCACATAGCTTTTTGTATAAAAAGTAATGAAACGGAACAATAATCCCAGATAGTTTGTTTAGTTAAATTATAAAGAAATATGATAAAAACATTATACAATATACTTAATCAACTGATAAATAAATGAAACAAAGACCACTAAAATATATACAAAAGAAATACAAAATTATACCGGAATGGGATCATCATCACAGAAAGACACTCCATGAGATCTAGGAGAAAAGTCACAGTCCAGAAGTCTAGGGCTTGGTGGTGGAGACTGACAAAACAACTGCATAACATGATCAAAATTCCTGAAATAAAAGTGAAGATATACGTGTTAGCACGCTTTACTTAGGAAATCTACAGTTACGTATGTTAATGTGAAAGAAATCGCATTTAAAGACTAAAACGTAATAAAACAAATGACAAGATGTGTGTGTGGATATGTACAGATACCTTTGTCTATGTTTGCTGGTTATATGTGTGTTATGTAATTATAAAATTTTGTGTAAATTCACAGTATACATACATGAAAGGTTGATCTTAAAGAACTGAGCTACAGGTTACCATGCAATAGACAATGGCAAATCACATGCCAATAGTTACATATGTAGTTAATAACAGTTTTATATAATCTATAATTGAGTTATGGTACAAAAAATAATAGATGAAGTATAGTTTTTCTGAATAAAAAAAAAATAGTTTGATATTTATTTAGGAAGTTTTAGAGATTATGAAAATGAAAAAAAAGTATATTTAATCTTAACGTGAAAATCACTTTGCACTGAAAGCAGTCAACACATATTTATGGGCAAATTTTAGTAAAAATACTTAGTTAAAAATTCTGATTTTTTGTCAACAAGTGACTTATAATGTTTTATTGAAAGCTTGTCAAATTTTGGGAACATAGATTAATTTCTAACACTTTGCTATGAAATAAACAATAATTAAACTTGTTCCAGTTGTCATCATAGTATTTTCTTTAGTACCAATCGTATAATACAATCATACAAGCTTTATAGTAAATTCTGTCCAACTAACAATACAGTAACTTTTGCCTCACCCTATATATAAAACTTCATGCTGCTGTTCAATATATAAAACACGTGAGAGTAATATGTAGTCGGACAAGTTATCTTGCCTTGCAATTCTTCTGAGATATTGTGATGCGAGATCTTTATTTTAAGATCCTGTGCTTTATTGTCAGTTAATAAAGTTATAAACACATCATAACTGCTAATTTCTGTCCAAAACTCAAAATAAGCATTTCCTATCTTGGCAAGTTTGAAGCCTGAAAACTTAGCAGTTAATTAAACGTACATAAATTCAGACACATTAATAATAATGTGTGTGTGTGTGTCTATTTTAGATGTGTTCATACATTTACATACATTCATGCATATAAACTGCATAAATGCCGTAAAAAAATGACAAGAATAAAACACATATTGCCAAATAATTGTTCCAAGTTTTCTTAAACTACTGTTATCTTTCAACATACTTAACAAATTCTTCAAATGTTCGAAATGCTGTAATAACTCCCATCCTTTGGCAGCTGTCTATATTTGATGGGGTATCTGATTCGAAAGTTAGATCTTCTTTGTTTGGTGTAGTACATCCTGTTGTCTTAGAATATGCAATCCTGCAAAATAAAATTATATGTAAAGATAAATCTGAAATATTATTTACATATACATACTGAAACTTTACATGGTTAAACTTTTTAGTAGTTGTTTTCCTGATGATTGTTTGAAATCACCGCAATTTGAATATTTAAAGAAAAAAGAAAGAAGATATACACATCTTGAAGAATTACATATTTAGTTACCAGGTTTCTAATATTTGACCATTTTTCAGCATTAATAGATAAGTTTATAGCTTTTGAAATGCATATTAACTATGAAAAATCTATGTAATGACTGTCCATAAACCTTTTAGATGCTCATCTTAAAAGACTAATTTGAAAATCTCATATCAAGGGTCTCAAATGTAATCACATATCCCCTTCATCAGTCTCAAATTTCCTCTGACAAAACAAAAACAAACCTCCCTGGTAATACTGTTGGTATTTCTAAGAATAAACAATACATAAAAATAGTATTTACTCTTAATATGCATGGCTACACAGTCTTTTATGCACTTTTTGCTAAAGTATACAATGGTAAGATAAATACTGTGATATGTACAACCCTGCTGTTTTTCTCACACTTATTTCTCTGTTTCCAACCAACATGACAGAAGATAAATTGTGAACACACAATAAAATATCTGTCAAGTGTCTTGACATCACACGTTTTTGTAAGGAACTGACTGAACAAGTTTTTCCTAAGGCTTTCATTAACTAATTATCTAAACTATGTTATGATAACAAAGTTTAAAAACATGCATCCAAATGTTTCAGCAATGTAATGTCAACAGTTTTGACTGAAGAGAAAACTTTTCTAGTCTCCAAATATTTTTCTAACACTGAAAATGTATTTTCAACAGGTACTTACCTCCTTCTCTCACATAAATAGCTATTCTAGTTCAGTGCTGCCCTCTATAAGCAATTTTTTTCTTTTGCATGCCACAAGCCTTGTGCTCCCACGTTACCCGAGATCAACGTGGTTCAACTGCATCTCGCATGCAAATCATCATGTAGCAGCCCTCCACCAATAGGAGTGCGACAAACCCTCCTGACACATGTGACACTCTCTATTTGGTTCAACCGAACTATACTTTTGGCAGAAAATGGAAGCACCGGTTTTCAGTGGGGAGGAAGCGTGAGAAGGGGTAAGTACCTATTGGAAATACATTTTCAGTATAGGAAAATTATAACTTCTGATACAATACATTACCTCCGTTCATATAAATAGCTAGAATCCCACATTTAACAGGTGGAGTGACTGATGCAAAGGAAAGAAAGAAGCATCCTTCAAAAGTGTCCTAAGAACACCCTGAAAGAATAGCTACTTGCAGTAGAGGATAATATGTGAGAGACAGCACCACTTCTGTACCAGGTATACTCTTCGCCTAGTATGGAAAGAGGTGTCGCAGACATGGGCAGAAATTGGGAGGGGCACATCCAAAAGGGAGAAAACAATGGTTGAAGAGGGATACAAGCCACACGATATTGGATACTTAATCCCATAGAGTACATCAATGTGAGTGAGAGTAAAAGGATGTGCCTCTGGGTGTAGAGTGGCTAGGGTGAATTGGAGCATACACGACAAGTCAACTGCATCCAAAACCCTGCTGCTGGGAACCAACATCTACGTGGGAGTAGGATGAGGATCATACCATTGGTAAGTTAACTACAATCCCAAACCCAGCCAACTGGGAACCAATATCCATGTGGGGATAGGAAAGAGGATCATACCACTGATAAGTCAACAACAATCCAAAACTCAGCTATCTGGTGAGGGAAGGAAAGGGGATCATACCACCATCACCTCAAGTTCAGCAGACCGTGTCCCTTTTTATCTTAATGAATCCTGCTCTGTGATGAGTGGTGCTTATCCAGGTATACTTAAACTAATCAAATCTGCACTGTAAAGCCATGATGATTTAACAATTATATTTTCCATGGCCATTAAACACACACTGTTGAGGTGGGGTGTTCCACAAAATTGCTCATAGTTTTTGCTGGTGATGTATTCATTCATATGCCTTTTCCAGACTGTACTAACACATGGACTTCATGAGTAAAGCAGGAGGAGAGAGCTGCCCATCTCTGCCATTCCTTATATTGAATAAATCAAGAGTGGTCTGCTTTTCAAAATAGGCATTTTGTGGTCCTGTTGCAATATCTCTTGTGTTGATGTTTCTCCAGAATGTCCACCACATTTACTCCCTCTTTTTTCTTCCAGTGGAATATGGGAGTTCTTACTACTTTCCAGTTCCAAAACACTGGGGTGGTGGACCATGGAGGCATCCTCCTGAATGTGATAATGATATATGATATAAATATTGATAAAACCATTCAGTTCAGAGTAGGCTGGTGGTGTTCTGCTGGTGTAGATGACGAGATGCCCTCCAATCTGATGCTCCATTTCTGTGCAGGTTTATCCAAGGGGATGTTGTAGCTTTGGAGTGAGCAGTCAAAATTGCAGTTCACCTCTTCGATTGGAATCCCTCATCCTACCCTCACATGGATGTCGGTTACCAGTGGCTGTAGTTTGGATTCATAGCTGAACCAATCAACATAAGTCCTCACAAATGTATTATAGGTGTCTCTGTTTCCTCACTTATTTATACTCTTATTCCCTCCACCCATGTTGTGGGTCATGGTGGTGGAATTTGCAGCTATCCTAACTTCTGTTATCCCTTGATTATTATCTTATTGTTCATAGACCAGGGGGTACCAGATTCCCTTCTTATCTCCTTTTTCCCCCTTAATCAGTTCCTAGTGTCTTCACGCTCATTAGGCACCTTTCTTTTTACCTGCTTCTCTTCCTTGTCATATGTTGGAGGTATTTCTTCCATCAAGCACTGGAACTACACCCCATATGTTTATCTTCCATTATCTGCTCCGGGTAGCTATTTCTTCCTCATTGTTGTACCATTTTCTACCTCTTGCCATCCTTCACTCTTTGGTTAGAGTGTGACTGGGTAAGATACCTTTTTGTATATATATACCTCTTATTTTTCAGGGACTTGTGTACTAGTTTTTGTGCCTTGCTCTTTGAGCCTGTTTCAGGTCTTTATGTCTTTGTCTCCGGTTCCTCATCCACTTGCCTTGGCTTTCAATGCGTTCAGACAGGATTGGAACCTGTTTATACCTTTCTTTTCTCTTCCCATTCATTATCTTCCCTGGGTGATTTCATTCATCCTTGCCACCATGTGTCAGGTCTTTCTGATTGCTTCTTCCTAGCCGACACAGATATGGTTTTCTCAGCTGCTTCAACTTGATCTGTCCTTTTTGTTCTGGATCGATTTTCCTCCCCTTCCCTTTGGCAGCTTGTGGGGCAGTTTCTTCTTTTTTCTTCATTTTAATTTCCTTCCATCACCCACCTTTAATCCCTGTTGAATCTGTGTCTCATACCTGCTCTGGGTTGCTTCATTGCCTTCAAGGCTTCTTTGCGTTGGTTCCTTTTTATGCTGTTTCATTCCAAGGCACCACTCCTCTGTTTGTGACTTTTTCATTCCTTCTTTACCCTTTGGATTTGGCTTTTGATTCAATTTGCTTTTACTTCCCCCCATGGTGAACAAACTTAAGACAGCTCTATGGGGAATGAAAAATAGAAACATTAACTGTGGGCATCCTCAGTCCTGGAGAAAAGGCCCACCACAGTGTGATAAAAGACAATACAGGAAAGGGGGTGAAAGAGCCAAGAAGTGATTGTGGTGAGACAGATCAATCACAGAACTCCAAACTGCATCGAGAATACACAACTAATGGAGGAACTCTTAGATGTAGAACAGGTAACTGACGTGAAGGTGCCAGACATGGAACATGAATAAAGAATGCAACAGTCAAAGAGAAATTGAGCAAACAAAGAAGAAAAAAATAAAATCTAGCAATACAGATAACCCACATAATGCTAAAGTCACAGGAGTAGCATCCTACCCCAAAAAAATGGACCAGTGGAAGAAAAGAGCCACCCATAAGTCCCAATTAGAAGTGGAAGGGAAAGGAACTTGATGCAAGACAGTATCCTAATCCAGAAAATCCCAAAAGCAAAGAATCCACATTAATAGGGAAAGAGTCAAAAATGGCAATCACTCCAACATGGGGTTTGGGACAACATCTATTTTAACAATTTTCATCACCTGATTATGAATTGGCCTTCCCAGGCCTCTAATGCAGAGTCTGCTAGACCTACCTCAGCTCTTTTTATACACGTTTCACAGTTGTTGTTTTTTTCTCTACTTTTCCAGACATTTTGGTTCATGCTAGACCATTTTGTCTCTTATTTGAGAGATGGTGCTGACATGCCTCGCCCTCCATGGGCTTTGGCTCATTTTGCTTTAGCTTACTATTTGGCAGATTTTTTTTTTCTTGCTTCTCTGCACGAATCTCTGTTGCCTGTATGGGGGCATAATCTGTTAAATCTATCCCCCTTTCTCCCTAGCCAAGTTTTCCAGCCTTCTTCTTCTCCTATCGCCTCTCGTACTAGTATTGACTGCCATACACCTCCTCCTTATTGAGTTTGGCAGTTTGAGGAGGAAGGCAAGCAATAGTAGGAGAAGGTTGGGCAGACCCCAGACCCAGGGCCCTCAAAAACAAAATTAATTGCAAGTATAAAATATAATTACTTACAAAAATGAAAAATCCTTATATTGTTAAATTAAGTAAGTGTATATTGACATTCAAAAAATTTAGTAGATGGAATCTGTTGAAGAAACTATACATTTAACCAAATTTATAACTTACCAGTAAGATGAATGACAGGTAAG